CACACACACACACACACACACACACACACACACACACACACACACACTTGTATGGGTCACAAGTCATGTGCAAATGAAAGTAACAAGAGCACAACAGTCAGTGAACAATTAAAATAGGGCTGTGTGGTGTTACAGAGAAGCTGGAGATACGCTTACACAAATCATTTCCTGTTTGTATTTTAACTGTCAAAAAATGAACAAAATAAACTTATTTAATAAAAGAGCAGAGTTGTGGATTAAAGATCACATGATCTTCATGGGTTCTGGTTCTAACGGGATGGTTTTATATTTTGTAAAACAATATTATATAGCTTGTTCAGCTTGTGAGTTTTCATATATTCCTGCCTGTAGACACGCAGCACCGATGATTGTTGAAGATGAGTTCATGTTTATGGTTCATTTCAGCAATTTAAGTTAATATAAAGCTCCTTTAAGACCTTTTAAGGCCACATAGAATGTGATTTAATACGTTTCACGATCAAGTGTGAAAGTATGAAGGAAAACCAGAAGATGGCCGATAATCATTTATTATTATAATACATGTGTGGGTTCTTTCCAGCAGTATATATCATTAACTCCTGATGATATAACTAATTAAATTATTGCGTCCTGGCCCCAGATAAATGGTGTAAAATGCCATTAATTAGAGCTGATTATCATGAACCAAAATACATATTATTTACAAACACACATGTTCTCAAGCTTAGAGATTTGATGGATTTAAAAAGGGCACAGATAATTTATAAAAAAGGTGCTTTCTGTGAACTGTTTGTAGAAGAGTGAGTCAGTTTGAACTATCGAATTTGCAAAAATATAAATGTGTAAAATGTATGAATATAAGATCATTAACAAATATAGAAGTGAGGAATTTTAGTTTGGAACTGTTTGGGCATACAGTATAATACAAATACAGTATCTTTTATTTAGTTTCTTTCTTTCATCTTCAGCTTTTGATTGTCACTGCTTTTAGTTTTTATTATTATTCATATGTGTATTTGATAATAAACTAAATTACCGATTAGGAAATGCATTTCCTGCTGTAAGTCGCAGCAGTAACAGTGTTTACCAAAGGACTGAAAGTATTCAACAGCACATGAAACAATAAACTGAGTTCATCAGTGTACAGAGTGCTGCCTCCTCTCAGTGGGTGAGTCCATTTGGTCTTTGGTCTCAAGATTTTAAGTATGTTTTAATGCTGAATGAATAATGTATTTACTTATTGACTTATCTCTGGTAAACACAGGATTTAAAGTCGTGCTTTTGTGTAATTCTTTGTGGAGAAACTCAGTTTTACAGATCAGTTGATTAAATCAACTAAATCGTTTGAGTGTTAATCGACTAAGAGTTTCTTTGGTCGAGGACACACACAATAAAAACATTCTGTAATTAATGCTTTTGTTCAAAAAAAAATGTTGAGGAAACTGAATTCATTGCTTTCTAAGAATGTTCACATCCTGCAGACGCTTTTGTATTTGAGTGAATTTAATTTAACAGGATCATGAAGCTCTCGACGGACTGACTTCTAAGCATCCGACTCTGGGTTTTATTCTAACGTCAGAGTCTCACGTTTCTCTCCACTCACCATGAATAAATCTCTGGCTTCTAGATCTACGGCGAGGAGGAAGGCCTTCTCGAAGCGCTGGTGTCTGCGGAGAAAAGGGAGACAGTTGAAGATGAAGCACGACGACATCGTGACAATAAAACATAAACAATCTAAAAACACACGATTGGGAATCAAATGTATGGTGTTTCCTCCTGCACACACACACACACATACATACAAAACCGTCTATAATTGAACTGAGAGCAGTGAGTCCTCCTCCTATTATCCAGAATTAAAGCTGGGAGAGAGAGGGAGAGAGAGAGAGAGAGAGAGAGAGAGAGAGCTGCATCTCCCAGAACAAAAACACCTCAACTTTCTCCGTCTAGAGCCAACATGAAACAAACAAACAGAAGCAGAGAGAGGAGGTGTGTTGGGCTTCCTTCATTTGATGTTGATGGAGAGAAAAAGAATGCAGGTAGGTGATAAGAGAGGAGGAGAGGAGGAGGAGGGATGCCAAACAAAACGCCGCGGCATCGGCTACAGAGGAGGAAGAAAGAAAAGAGGGGGGGAGAGGGGGGAGAGAGAAGCGGGAGGTAGGATGGAGAGCAGCGAGCGTCGGCGTGCGGCAACAACAGGGTCTATTTCAGTCAAACAGACGTTTCAAAGGGCTCTCATGGCAGAAGGGAAAATGAAACAACAGTCTGAACAGGTGCATGTGAGGTGCTTCGTCCTCATGAATGACTCAAAGCTGCACCAGCGAGCGTCACGACGAATCTTCTAAAATAGCAAAAGTGAGTGGCAGATACAGAGGGAATTAAAGTGCATCTGCAACGGATGTCATTTTCACAAAGAGCCTCTTCTTTTCTTGGGATGCTTATTGTGATTCTGCGCCCAATAAAATGTTCTTGTTATCCTTAAAATAGTCGGTAAATGTGTGTTTGTAGAGTTTAAAGCAGCTTTGAGTCATCGGTCAGATAATTACTGATCTGTAGCAGGAATCAAGAAACACAAGATGTAAAGAGGAGCTCCGTTTTACAGATCTGTTGATTTTAATCAACTAATTGATTAGTCAACTAAATTAGTTACAAAAGAAGGACAGCCCTCGGAGGACCACACTACTTATGTATGCATTTATGTATTTATGTATTGAAATACATTTAGCCGACCTCGACCTTTCGACTCCCCCCTGAAGAGTTGCGCAAAAGAAGACAAATGTCTCGCTCAGATGATCAAATTAGGACCACAGCGACAGCACAGCAACAGCACAGCGTCGGCGGCGTTACCTGAGAAGGTGGTGAAAAAAACGGCGGGCGCACTTGCTGATTGGCTCCCTGTACTCGAGTATCACGACATCAGAGAGAGGAGCAGGCGGAGCGTAAAACACACCCAGAGCTGCTTCTAGTTGGGCTGCAGACAAACAACACAAGCACACAATAACAATACAGAGAAGACAGAAATATGAAAGAGAAAACTCACATTTACAAAACATAATCATCTCAATGTGAGTAATGAAGTGGTGAAGTTTCATGGTGATATCTATGAGTTCATGTTGTGACCCTATTCACCTGTAGAGTCTCTAAATGTCTGTAATGGAACTAAACGTCTCTTTAAAGGACGTTTCCTCTAAATGAGTTTGTTCTCAGACTCTGATGATAAATCTCCACTTCAGCAGCTCTTACATTCACCAAACTTCACTCATTCATTCCTCTCTGTGTGCTGAAGGTTCACACAGAGGGGTTTGTTCACACATCACTCAGAGACCCATTTATACTACATTTATTAATAAAAACATGGAGGAAATAGATGTTCTTGATGTGGCTGTTGACGGTATTTTCTGATTTATGAAGTGACACAAAGATATATCCACAATTCCCTCTTTAAAAACCTTTGACTCTAATATGTCAACAAAACGCATATTTAATATTACATTTTAGAAAACTTGTAATACAAACAATAATTGTCTTAATGTAAGTAGTCAACTGGGGAAGTTTAATTCTATTTCATCTATTAGTTCAAACATTGACAAAAAATAATAATAAATGTAATGCAAGTGGATTAACTTTAGAATATTGTGTCCTCCTCTCTTGTGTCTTTTAACTGGGATTTAATCTGACGTTACAGAACCAGAAACATAAAAAGATAAAACTGTTCTTTGTATTTTCCAGTGGAGGTTTGAGGAACACTAACACCTGAAGGGAAGCGGTGGACCCACCCTCTCTGTCTGCGTTCAGCTGCAGCCTCAGCAGGTGGTTCGTGACTGAGCCGAGGCCTCGGTAGCATTCGTCTCCCGTGGTGCTCCAGTCCATGGCCTCCAGGACGCCCAGCGCCTCTTTGACTTGACCACAACGCAGCCGCTGCTGCAGCAGCTCACCGGGACCCATCTGTCCTCCGGTCAGAGCTCCTGTCCAACACAGTCACAGTTTGGTGTTTAGTTTATTAAGAAGAACAAAATACACCAGGATCTCCTTCATCCATGTGACAGTTAGAGAGCAGTGTGATGAAGTATTCTAACATTTATATAATGAAGTGCTGCTGCCTGCTTCTGTCACCTGATGCTTATAAATAAGTAAATAACACAATAAACATGGGTATTATCTGACAAATCAAACACCAATTTTGACTTCACTATTTTTTTCTGGGCCTAAAACAAAACGCAGAACATACAGCCCAGTTCTGTTCCAGGTTTCTTCTCCTATAAGTGGATGAATCAAAGAGCACGGGTCCAGACCTGCTCGATAGGAAAAGCGTCACGAGATAACTTCTGTTTAAATGTGCAAAAACAACAATTTAAACTGATTTTCCATTAATGCGGTGGAGTGCAGCGCTCATCACTGTGTGCTAATACTGTATATTTGTGAAGCACTTACTTAAGATAAGTAAGTGTCCAGCGGATCGGTCTAAACTCTGAAGCAGCACTAGATCGGTGAGACCGACATCGACTTGTCAATCAATTAGTGGAGAAGTCTGTTTAATCCCTGGTGTGTGTGTGTGTGTGTGTGTCCTCATCACCATCTATTTAAACACATCTGAAACACATACAGTATGTATGAGAGGAATGCCACAACTCACTGCACCTTTTGACCAGAGGTGACTGATTATGCTTTTGTTTGTGTGTGCCAAAGCACATTATGTTGAATAATGGAAGGACGAGGTTTTGTGCTCTTCCCGGTAGTAGAGGTGTCCCGTTCTGTGTGCATTAGCGTGAATGTGCTCGTGTGTTTAATGTTTAGTGTTGAATACCAGAGGTGATTAATGTCCGCTGTGATTGATCGAGACGGTTCAGAGCGAGACACTCGGAGGAATCTCTGACTTCAGCGGGGAGAGGCTGATGTGAGACACCAGACTCCGATACTTGTTGCCATAACAGACGTTTAACTTCTCTGTAACATGAAACGTGAAAGTTTAAAGTGCCATATGAAAGAAACGCTTAAATACACGTAACAGTCTGTATATCAGTCACCTCATGTTAACGTGAACTCACGAAGAAAACATTTCTCTGTTTTTTAAAATTCTTTGTTCATCACGGAGACACGAGAGTAAAACGAAGGCAACACGAGGTGAGTAACTGATATAGAAATGGTCATTGAGTGTGTAGTATTCCTTTAGGCTTATATAAGTATTCACTAAACTGAATTTGGACATAGCTGGTGGCTCTGGACAGTGTAGGTGATCACTGACAGCGGTACTGTCAATGGGCCAGACTGCAGGCAGCCAAAGTCACCACCGACTCTTGTCTAATTAATTGAAGTTGTGTGTGTGTGTGTGTGTGTTTGTGTGTGTGTGTGTGTGTGTGTGTGTGGAGGGGGGGAGTTGTTCGAGCAATTAAAATGACAAGCTGGCAATTAGCAAGCCCCCAAATCCCCTTAAGAGTGGGCTAATGTGGCCAATACATCAGCTGAGCGTATGTGTGTCTACGTTTGTGTGTGTGTGTGTGTGTCCTTACGTTGGGCGTTAACGTCTGCTCTAAGCTAACTGTAAGCGGAGACAATGGCTCATTGTGGTGCTGAGGACGAGTCAGTTCACATCTGTCTTCACTAACTTATTTGAACAGCAGTGTCAGACGTACAACAACACGGAGCAGCCGCACGAACAAACAGCAGGACTCAAACCGCCGACACGTCGTGTACTCATCAAGACACGATGAGTACACGACAAGCACTCGACGAGAACGCGACGAGAACGCGACGAGTACGCTACGAGAACTTGACGAGAACTCGACGAGTACGCTACGAGAACTCGACAAGTACGCGACGAGTACGCGACGAGTACGCGACGAGAACA